ATAAAAGACCATGTTCATAAATGTTATAAGTTGGATATATTTTTTAAAATCATACTAGTATCCTATAGAACAAATTGATGGGCTAATATATAGAACAAAGAGCAACAAGCCTATAATTCTTTCACCTAAGATTGACAAGATACTAGGAACGAAAAAAAGAAGATTTCTAAAACCTTAGGAAGGAGAGCAAGCCTCTAAACTATCTAGAAAAGGTAGAAGAATGACATGTAAGGTATGTCACAAAAGGGTATATAATAGTCTAACGTATTCTAAAAATCAAAAAAGGAAGGTTAGTTAATCTAACTTTAATCCTTTTTCCAAACTACAATTATGTTATGTAAACATGCATTCAATGAGTCATGATTTTTTAATACTTTTAGGCTTAAGCAACTCGTATCTCGAATAATAAATGAATGGCCACAGTCTTGGGATGATACACCTATAAGAAGATAATTGCTTCAAATGGTAAAGTAAAATTCTAAGTTATTTTTTAATTTTATAAAATAAATTATGTTTAATTTGTTAACTTATTAGTTATTTATACTACTAGGCCAAACAAAAGGAAGGTCAAGAAAACAATACTAGTCAAGGTTACTCTTTCATGATTAACAACACTCAATGAAGCTTAGTGATTATCCAGAATAATACTCACTCAATCTCTCGTTATTATTCATGGGATGAAAAATACTGAATCAAGAAATAGAAAAGTAAATAAAGAGGCTAGTGGTCCAAGATTTATCGAGATTGAAGGAAAGAAGAAGAGAAGCTGGATTGGAATCGAGTCCGCTCAAGAAAAAGTTTCCCAATTACCAACTTTAGTTTCAGCCGAGTGGTTTAAGATCTAACAAAGGTAGAAGAAGGGAGACGAGAATTGGATTGGGATCTAAGTCTATTCATGAAATAGATTCCCAATCACCAACTTTAATTATAACTAATTGTTCAAGATCTACCAAATATAGAGATAGGAGAAGGAGAATTGGATTGAGATCCGAGTCTATTCAAGAAATAGATTCTTAATCACCAACTTTAGCCTAAGGTAGTGCTTTAAGATCCGTAAGAGGTAGTGGAAGGAGTTCTAAAAGAAGGTTGTTGGATATGGCCTTTATGTTGAGTAAGAAGTAGTTTTTGTATATGGAATGTAAGTTTTGGTTTTCATTTTCTTTTTCTTTATTGGACATGTACTAAATCGAGGACTTACTTTTTTATTTTTATTTTTTAGCTTAGAAATAATGGTGAGAAAGTCATCTCTTTTCCTCAAAGGCCAAAAAAGAAATGAAGGAATTTGTGATATAACTGAAGGTTATTGGTTGTTTTGATGTTGGTCTTTATGTAAATGATGGAGATGAAGATTATGTTTGACATAAGGTCTTCAAAATCTATAGAATACGAGTTGAAGATGTTTGGTTTTATTTTTATTGTTTACATAGGATTTTAAAATGATTTATGCTATTTTGTAGACATATGTGACATTATAAGTGTTATTTTTTTTTTTATGTTAAACATGAGAATGATTTTATTGAATAAAATTTGTTAAATCTAGTGTTTTTAATCTATTGTTTCAAATCCATTACTTTCTCCATATATACCATAACTTTTCCATATTTATTGTAATCATACCGAAACGATTGCAATTGTAACAAAGTAGCCTAGTACTCTTTATTAAAACTTGGTCTTAGCCTTGATGAAGCGAGTTTGACTTGATGAGGTCCTTGTGGAGATTGAAAATGTGACTAACCTTGATGTTTCTAATCCTGCTATTTGAATTTAATAATAATATAAGTCTCTTTCTCCTAAAGAAACAATGAAAAATTCCAATAAAGACATCAAAGTATAGAAACAAGGAAAAACAAGCGACATCTTAACATGTCCAATATCAACGAGTAATACTAATAATAAAATAGCATAAACAACAATAAACACATGAGATATACACCGTTGAGCACAATATAGGAGGGTTGACGGGAAGGAGGAATTAAAATGAACACATTTGATCAAAATCTGGTTGCAATTGTAACAATACTACTAGACCATACTAGACAAAGATTATATCCGTAATAAATTCACCATTTGATCAAAATAAGGTTGTATTTGTAACATGGTTGTAATTATAACGATCTAAGCTAAGCTCGCATAAAGAATTGCATTTGTAATAACTATCTTTAATATTACATCCTTACCATCCTAGCTAATCACAAATCAACAACATCGCAATAAACATTATACATAACAAAATTTCTAATTTGTATCCAAACATAACTTTATCATATACATCTCTATATTCTTATAATTTTTTGTTTAAAGCATCCACCTCTTCCAATACATAGTTCTTTTCAGCTCTAAGTGTTGCGATTTTCATAACTAAATGTTTCATCTTCAATTCTTGATTATCGACTTTCAATTATACAATTTCCCTACCAAATCTCTAGTTCTTTTTCATTAACTATCTATTTTCAACAAACAATTATTTTTGTCTTTCTATCATGCCTAAAATCATATCCTTTGCTCTAACCAATATAAATGGTTCACATCATTTATAAAAATCACATCCAACATCTTTTCTTTAATTCCTTACAGTATCGAACTAGACAACATAAAAACTTTATAGTTAGGTAAAGATCACTTTATGATGTCAATCTTAGAACTCATTCTACACACTTACAAAATAAAGGACCCCCTTCATAATCATACTCTAGTCTTTGAAGCATTGCAAGTACAACTTGGAATAATTCTTCCAAATCTTAACTTATTGGATGAACTTGGAGAATCCATTTTCTTATGGCATTTCAAAACAACAATGTTAATTGCAAGTCACATAAACAAATAACATAAAATTTAAAAGAATTAAAATAAAATAAATTGTTAACATAATTGCAACTAGAGGAACAAATCAAACCTAATAAAAGAGGGATTGCATTTTATGCATCAAAGAATGCAAGGAGAAGAGAAGTAAAGCAACGGAGCTTCAATCGATTAGCCATAATTGAAGAAATTAATGTTTATGTATGAAAGAAGGGGATTGGTGAAAGATTCAAAGATTTTGGGTCCTTTTTTTTTTTTGATAAATCATGAATAATTCTTCAACTGATTTTAGGTATTATAAAGTTAGTTTAGACTTAGGAATTTAGGGGAAATTCAATCATGGATAAGGGATATAAGTGTTTTTTAAATGGGAGCAATTTCGTGTTTTTTTGTTTTAATTTCATTTCAATCTTTACCGATATTACAAATTTAGAGGGAAAAAAATTAATACCACGCATCAACATCTTATAATTCTTAATAGAAAAATTGTTTTCGATGCTTAGAAAATGTGATCAAATAGATCAAATACGGACGCAAAATAGAATAGAGAGACACGATAGTTGAAAATTTTAGTAAAAGAACACAATTAAGACATTTAAAACAATATAGGGACATCCCGGGCCTTTAACTCGAATTAGAATAGGCTAAAAATGGCAATGGATGGGTATTTGGCTTATTAATTTAATTTCTTACCGTAATTATCAAAAGAATACCCTACCCATTATCCATTAACAAATCATCGTATAAATCTTTACCTATTCCATAACCAATCCATACTAGTTTACCCATCCATTTAATACCCATTAAATACCCACTAAATTTAATTTATCAAAAATATTCATTTTAGTCCCCGTAATTTTTAAGAAAAGTTTTTTTGATCTTTTAATTTTTTAAAAAATTATTATTATTATTATTATTATTATTTGCATTTTGGTCTTTTATTTATAAGTTTTTTTGGTTCTTAAATTTTTTTAAAAATATTTTGATCCTTAATTTTCAAATTTTATGCAATTTAATCCTTGTATATTAATAAAAAAAAAGCTAAATAAATTGGTGGCTATTAATAGGGTAAAGAGTGGGTACCCATACCTTGAAATCATATCAATATGTATTTTTTTATCCTTACCCATTTAAATACCCATTGGACATGCTTAATGGGTATTTATTAATTCAAATAAAGTAGGTATCTACTTTATATGTAGTCTATTTCCATCCCTACTCGAAATAGTAAAAACAATCCAAAAAAAGAAAAATCATGACGTTCATTAAGCCAAGTTGTCGGACCAAATTTGGTTCTCTTGGATTTTTTCTTCCAAATAAAAAATTAGAAAGATTTTGAAAAATTTTATACATAAAGAAAAACTATTCAATATAGTTATGGAACCACATTAATTAAGTATGTGTATAGGGATGCATTTGTCTCCGTATCGAATAAAATATTAATTATTGTGCTTGAATTAATGTTATAAATACATTAATTGTATGTGCCTCTTTTAGTTTATATATACCTATATTCTTTGTATATTTATGAGTCATTTAAAAAGAAAAATGGCATTGTTCAATGGACAATTCGGCACCTAATCTATAAAATGAGTGAAAGGCTATTAACAAACAAAACTAAAAGAGTAAGGATTGTCACCATTCGAATACTCGCTCATTTAGACTCAACTGCACTAGAGATATCAACAATTTTTTTCACATCTTTCTTTGACTCTTTGCTAAATTATTATACAAAATCTATTATTTTGTACATTTTTGTTTCAACCATCCGATCTAAGTTAATTGCTTTCAATTGTCCGATTGAACATTACTTTCTTTCGATCTCAACCATCCATCTAAAAAAACCATAACAATCTTAGTCATTAAATCATATGATATATAAGTTCATTTTATCCCAATCTTAGAAAGCCTTCATCTTCTACCGTTCTCCTCTTTACCCAAAACCCTTACTAAGATGCACCCACCACCACCATTATACCTCAATGTCAACGTCAACCACCTATCACCACCACAACATCATTTTATCCCAATCTCACTAAACCATCTTCCTATATCTTCATCTTTCTATTAAAAAAATATAAGAAAAATATTTTTCTCTCTTTCTAGCCTCCCCATCTTCTCTTTCTTAGTTTATCTACAAACAAGGTTTTTTGATGTTAGAGTTTGTGGAAGTAAGGGACGGTGTCTCTAGGTTTAGTTAGGTTTGATATCTATTGGGTTTGTGAGAGAAAATGACAAAGGTAGATGTTGGCTCGAATGGGTTTGTGAGAGAAGACGATCAAAAGGATCTGTAGAGGTAAGGGACAAAGTCATTGGGTTCGGTTAGGTCTAATGGTCGTTGGGTTCTTGAGAGAATACGATGAGGGTGGGTATTGCCTCGAGTGGGTTTATGAGATAGGAGGATGAGTACTACCCCGTATAAATTCAACTTTGGTGAAGTTAAAAGACTTTTCATTCATTTGCTTTTAGAATGGAAAAGCAATAACATTTTGCACACTCTTCGTCTCCACTTGTCTCTGTCTTTCCTCCATCCTATCTTTACACTACACCCCTAACATAATTATGGAATCTATCAAATTTGAGCCTCTCTAACTTTTAAATTAATAGAGGTTTATATGTTTTTGCACACAATTAATTTCAAACTACACAAGTATATGTTTTATGCATTGTAGGCTACTGCTAACTTGAGGTCATTGGAAGGTTATACATCTTAAATAATTTTATAAGCAGTAAGTATCTTTATATTTGAAATTTTAGTGAATAAGTACTATCTATTAATTAATACTCTATCCATGTTCATATGCTTTATTATATAATATTGAATAATTACTTTTGTAATGAATTTCCTGTTTTAAAGGTTAAGGATCTTTTAAGAGATAGAAGCGACTAAAAATCCGAGGCGAGATGGGGTTTTGATTTTGGTGGCTCTCGAGAAGGTTCTTATATGTGGGTATGTTACTTATTTAGCATTTGCATAATATTGTATATATTGAGGATCATAGTGTTTTCGTGAATTTTATCTCTTCATTCGATAAATGCATTTTATTGCTATATTAATGATTTTTTAAAGTGATTTTGTAGTAATTAATTAACTATTGCTCGTCTCTCCGTCCGTCTATCCGTGTGTCAATGAATATACCAACTTTTTAGAAATTCTTTAGGTAATTTTTTTGGCTTTTTTTCTCATTTTTATAATTTGTTTTTAATAGGACCATCCTACAAGAAAATTGAAACTTGCTTTAATTTTTTGAAACTATTGTTGATAAATTATGAATTTTGTTTTTTTCATTTTTTTAGTTTATTGCATATTGCTTGACTTATTACCATTACCAAACGAGCTACTTCTCAATCTTCATGGAAGGAGCATTGGCATTACATTTGATAAATGGATATTTGCCATCCACTTGAATCAAAATGGTAGGTTGGTTATGGGATTTTTTTTTATGAGGATTTGAGGAGTATTTGCCTTGCTATTTCTCTTTTGAAGTTGATTTTTTTATCGATTTATTGTTGTTGGAATAACAATAATGTCAATTTCTTTATTTGAATATTTTTCTTCTCTTATTAGTGTTGTTTTTTACAATGTAATGAAATGCCATTATAAATTCGTTGGAGTATAAGAGATGTAGTTCTCCAATGGAGCCTCCGTATATTTTTTTTTACGTCGATCAATATAGTAGAGAACATACCATTTTATTTCTTACTTGCGGTGTATGGTAAGTATAGTTTAACTTGCATCTATATAAGCATATATGTATGATCTATAACAAAGTGTTTTATGAAAAAAAGATGGTGCCAATATGCAGCATCGGTTTACAAGGGTTGATTTGTTTATCATAGTTATCTTCACATACATACTTTACTAAAAGATTTAAATAATTTTTGAACATGAGATCCGATAGCATTTTTTTTCCTTTATAATTACAAGTCCAATGTGTAATATTAGAAACTTAGCCTCTAGCTTTTCTATAGTAGACTATCCTAAATTTTTGTTATGGCTTTTATAGAGGGCATCATAGCTAGAGGTACTTGCAGTGTTATTGCGTAAGCAGTTTTATACCCTATTGATATAGTTAAAACTTGATTACGGGTAAGTAGGCTTATTCTATCTCATTTTCCATTATTTTTTCTCTGCATTGCATCCCAATACTAGAATGTTTCAGACTATATTTAGGTTTGAAAAGAAACTACATCCACTATGTTATACCGAGCTTGGTTCTTACCGAAATGTAATTACCTTTGTTCTTCACCACTTCTATTTTATGGTTGCATTATGCTATCATATTTTGATTACGCTGTACTTTCATGGTAAAATTATGGGCACTCGAGTGCGGTTAATCTTTTTATTGTCTCTAATTGCTTGATCTTAATTCTAAATTAAGTTACACCATTGCTTTATCTTTGAATGCTTGATCTTATCAAAAGGGGAAAGGAAAAACAAACTATTTTACCTACGGAATGAGCATTTATTGCATGTTATTATAGTTTTTTGTTATTTTTTTATTTTTAAAAGAATGATAGCCTAGTAAGATGTGGAAACATAAATGATTCCCGAACTTAAGGAACACAAAATTAAATGTATCCATAAAATAAAAAAAATTATAGACTACCAACTCGATACACAAATTATGATACCTAATTTTTATTATATATTAATGAGGGAGTTAGTGAGATTTAGATGGAATTGATTAGGTTATAGATATGTTGTAGTTTCCCGGCTTTCTTTGGCATCAACGGAGACAAAAATTAGGTAATACCTAGTAAATGATTCTTGAATAAGAAAAGGTCTGTACTAACTCGGTTATTCCATAAATTAGGATTCTTATGGATGCTTTTTATATGATCTCTTATCATTTTAATGGTTTTTCCCAATTTAATTAAGTTTTTCATTTCTCAATTGATATGAATCATAGAATTAAAATGTCAATGCCATAAGGCTACTTGTTGTCAAATGCCATGATTATTTCTCTATGTAAGAATCCATGATTATGTTTTTCATTCTATCTTAATATGTAATATCATTATTTTCATGTCAAAATCCCATTTTTCTTCTCTTGAATGTATTTGATGAAAGTCACCTAGAAATATTAATTAATGTGTTGATGATATGGATTTGATGCAAGTATTGTTGGTCTTATTGGTAAATATGTCATCGAAAATGTTAACCAGGTGATCATACTTTACTCATAAAAATTATAATCATAATGTCAATGTTTGCTTCTCTTCTATCTTTGTGAGTGCGCTTGTGCTTGTCTTCTTACACTACAAAGTTAGATGGAAATAAAAATATCCGGTTTTCTTATGTGTTTTCTCTCTAAGATTCAAGACACTATAGATTTACTATGATGGATTTGTTATAGATTACATAGACTTTTGAAGTCATGTATTTTATATTTTTAAATCAATCTAGATATAAAGGGCAGTAACTATATGCTACATAGCATTCCATCCTCAAGTTAAAGGCATAAGCGGCCACTATTTTGCCGATAGTAACATGACCAAGGCAAGCTTACAAGCAAATGATGTCGAGTTGGCTAAGGAACTTCAGCTTAGATTGGTTTGCACTAGCTCAAATCCTTCATAAAGATCATAAAACTAATTGTTATGCACTAAAATTTAAAGTAAATAGTTTTATAGATGTACATTTTACATCATTGTTAAGCGACGAATTGTAATGGTATCGGCTTTTTCAAGAAAATATTCCGAATATGCAATGATAAACTTCTATCTTGCAAAGATAATATTACAAGTTAAATTATCAAAGCCACCAATTTAGAACTCGTTTCATATGAGCAAATTTCTTAGGTTCGTTGATTACTATAAAGGTATATTGTAGCGATAATGTTCCCGAGCAATGATATGTAAAACATCAACTTGGTTGATTTGACCTAATCTTTTCTTATTTTTGAATTTCTTGCCGGATATTTGAGGTTGTATTGTATTTTTACTTTTAATTGGGTGTTTTGAAGTTGATTTCTTTTTGTTGAATTCTTGATAGAAATTAGTGATTGGTAGTTACATAACTAATTTTTCTTTCTTCTTTGATTTCTACTCGTTATTATCTTCTTTTCTTGATACGGCTAAGCTATATCAAGTGTTTTTTTTAATCGAGTTAATGTCATTAATTCAAGCTTATTGAATTCTGATTAACAATTTCTTTTTTGAGCTTTTATTTCTCCGTTAGTAAGGCAACATGCATACAATCTTTAATTTTACAAGAAAATCTCATGGGTGCCAACTTGATCACTCCCTAAATTGTGCTTCGCATATCACCGATAAAAGAAAAGCTTGAAATATCAATGCTTATAGGCAAATGCATAATATGTGCTTTGACTTAACATTTTAGTAAGAAAAGTAGTAAAAATATGCCGCATTCACTTGCACCCAGCATTTATCACCAAAGCATACACACTCGAGAAAAACACTCTTGATTCTATGTTTTACTTAAAATATTACAGAGTTGCCTTTTTATTTTGGATTCATATTTTTTTGTATGTCAGCTCATTATCTCAAATCTCATATCAAAGACATGTGGTATAACTACTTATAAAAGCCATTGAATTAAATTGAATATATAGGTTCTACTTTTTTTTCATAATGAGCATATGATTCTTTTACCGACTTTATCATGATCAATTATTATTCTTAATGCATACATGTTGTTGGTAGGAACTACCATGCTTATTTTTGGAGTTGGATTTTATATCATTTTTGTAGAATAAAGGAATTCAAAAGAGTAAGCATTATTACCGCCAAAATCAAACTTGAGGTATGAATAAGGTTTGACTTATCCTAACTCATTAGTTATTCACAATAGTAATGGTCATTTATGTCTTTCTTTAATAGTAGTTCATTTGTTATTTTTGATAATTTGTTTAAACTTTTATTCTCAATTATAATAGGACATCGACAAATATAATTCATTTTTAATGTTGCTAAAGGATGTAAGCCAATAAATCTTTAATGAATTGGTAATCTCACATTGTTTTACGTATACTTCTCTTGAAGCTTTTAGAAGTTGCTTTTCGGGTAATTTCTCCATTTATTACAAATCAAAATATTTTTATCTAGTTCAACATAGGTCACTTTCAGTTTCTCATATAGGATGGAACTCATTAATTTTCCATTTCATGCTAATAGAATGTCCTTTTGGGTGAATATCCTAGATTAACGGATAGTTTGATGGATGTCATCTCTTCATAAAGTTCATCTTTGTTTTGTGTGGACCTTTTAAAGTCCGATGTCATAGCTATTGGCTTGTGTCTCCTCAAGGATTGTTCAAACCTCTAATTGCTCTAAATTATTACAATGACCTTTCGACTATAGTCTTAAACATTAAAGTTGTACTTCTTTAACTTTTTCCCTTATTTTGGCTATATTAGTGCAAAATCATGTTTCATTCCTATAATTTGTTGCTATATAAATATTTTTTTTAAGCTTCTTCTAATTATTACATATTAATTCTATACTTTTAGGTTATTTTGATATAAATTATTTTCATATTTACTCATAATATTTTATAATATCATTTATAAACATTTCCACTAACCATATCGGACCCACGACGATGCGCAGTGTCATAAACTTGTAACTAACTATATAATATGTAAGTTATCCTTTGTTAATTCAAGTATAATAAAATTGGATAACACTCATAAATAAATAAATAAATAAATAAATAAATAATCCATAAGTGTATCTTCTTAAACTAGAAAATGCACAAAAACATGTATAAGGTTGTCTACAAATTAATATAATGGCTCGTGATTCATATTTTTATTCACATCATATTTCATATGTACAATTATGCTTAGAGTGATGATAAAAACTATTTAGTATGCAAATTAAAGTTTAAAAAGACTTTGTTTTACATAAGCTCCTCCAACGATCATGATCAGTACAATATCTCGTTTTATTATTAATTAGTATTAAGTCGGGAGCAAAGGCTTTCCAAAAATCAAGTTTATATTGTGAACACTATTATTAATTTATAATTAAAAAATTCATGATATTTAACGAATATTGGTAGTAGCTAGCCGAGTAATGAAGAGTTACAAAACAAGTATTTTCGGTTATGTCAAGATTTTTCCAACAAGAATTTATTGATGAGTCCCCATGTCATTGAGTTGTGGAAAATCCCACTTGATTAAAAGAATGGAAAGTTGGCGGCTTATAAATAAACTCATTGAGCTACTTGGCCCCTCCTCAATGGGGACCAAATCCCATATACATATATATACATATATATATATATATATATAAGAAAAAAAAACAAAAATGTCACTTTATAAAAGTCACTTGCACTTTTTAAATTGTATGGCATCAAAAACTAAATTGAATAGAATTTAAAATAGAAGTGCAGCTGTAAGAAAGGGAAAAAGAAGACTAGCCGCGAGAGAGAGAGAGGTAATCTTATTTTTAAAGTCCTAATCGGATAGTGATTTTAAATTCGATTAAAATAAAATTTTAATATTTTTTTTTTTGATATCAAGCTCTTCAATTGAATAGTATTGATTGTTAAAAAATTTCACCTTTGAGTATTTTCTAAAAATCCATTTGGTGAGATACAATCTTTTTTCTTTATTGTTATAGTTGGAATTTATTTTGATGATAATGGTTTTGATGTTTTGAAGTGTATCTTCTAGTTGAATTAGAAAAGAATTGTGTATCCCATTATTTGATATAGTGAAAGGTTTAAGTGGACTATGGTTCCAAGTTTTTTCCCACATCAAAGTTTTCGTATAAAAATTTATGTGTTGCTTGTGGATGTGTTTATTTATTTCGCGTTGCTTATTATTGATTGGTTGATCTTAATTTTAATTGTGCAAAGAGGCAAAAGAATTAGGACTTATGGTTTGTAATTTTACTTCAAACTTATGCTTTTTCCTTACAAAGTGGTATCAAAGCCTAGTTCGAGTTGTGTAGATTGTTTGTTTTCTTATGCAATTAAAATAGACAATGAAGATCCGAGTATGATAAAGCTCACTTCCTCTAATTATCTTTTATGAAATATATTGATGGAAGATCACCTTTACTATAATGATTTAACTTTGTCGTTTGAATGCAAAGGAAATAAGCTTGTCGATATGGAGAAGGCTAAATAAAAGTCAATGAACGGAAAAGCTACATATATTGTCGGAAAATGGGTATCTTTTAAATTCATAAATCATATCTCTCGGGAACATGACTCGCTATAAAGTTTGGAAGTTGGTGGAAAAAACTTTTGCTAAGTGCATAAAACAAGGCTTTTGTGATTAAAAACCTTATAAACCCGAAGTACAAAGGTGGTGAAGATGCTTCAATATACTTAAATGACTTTCAAGAGTTTTTGAATTAGTTGACATTAATGAACCTTTAGCTAGCCGATGAAATACAAGCACATATCCTATTGAGTTCATTGCTAGATAGTTGGGAAACTCTAATGGTGTCACTTGACGACTTTACTACAAAGAGAAAGCTCAATTTAAAGACAATAAAATACAATATTCTTAATGAAAAAAAAAGAGAAAATAGTCAAACACTTCGAATACCATGTGCTCGTTATAGAAAGCTAAAGGAGAAGTCATAATGGATTTTCTCGTAGTAAGTAAAATAGAGAATTCAATGATAGAAAAGGCGGATCGAAGTTTAGAGGCAAGTTTTAGTCAAGAAAGAGGATCCAAAGGGATTGTAAAAAGTACAAGAGAGATTAGAGGGGTAAAGTCAAAGACAAGAATAAAGAGAACGGAACAACTATAATTGTTTATGATGGTGATGTTGCCATTTTTTATGATGATGGCTATGTAAATCTTATTTGTTAAGATACCACCTAGTTAGCCGATTCAACTGCTTCTTACAATGTTATATCTCGATGGGATATATTCTCATCCTACACTAGTGAAGACTTCGGTCAAGTTAGGATAGGAAATCAAGGGAATGATAATGTTATGAACATTGGTGATATTTGGTTAGAGACTAACACCAAGTGTAAGTTGTTGCTTAAGGATACTAGGCATGTGTCCGATATGCATATACACTTGATCTCTATAATTATAATTGATGAAGAAGGCTATCATAATTTCTTTAGAGATGGTAAATGAAAGCTCTCCAAAGGTTCTTTGATTGTTGCTAAACACAAAAAGGATGAGTCTCTATGTGTCACAAGCAAATGCGATTAAAGGAAAGGTAAAGATCATCGAAGATGCCTCTATCAATTTATGGCATAAGCGAGCTTGGACACTCGAGGGAGAAAGACATTAGTATCATTGTCAAGAAGAACCTTTTTCCTTTAAAATGTATAAATTTGAACACTTGCACTCATTATTTAACTAGTAAAGAACATAGAACGACATTTCATAGATCACTTTCACATAAAAAATCTCATGTTTTGATTTAGTTCATACTAATGTTTTCTCTATGATTGACAAGTATCTTAAAGGTGTTTTGTATTTTGTTAGTTTTATTGATGATCATTCCAGGAAAATTTAGTCAATTTGTTTGAAATACAAAGATCAAGTGCTTGAGGTCTTTAAAGATTTCCATGTTAGAGTTGAAAGAAAAACTCATAAAAAGCTAAAATATGTCCGAGAAAATAATAGAGGTGAATACGAGAGGTCCATTTGAAAATTATTATTGAGATATGACATTAAACCCGAAAAAACAATTCTAAAGACCCCATAATAGAATGGAGTGGTAGAAAGAAAGAACATAAATATTATTGAAAGAATCTTGTGTATGTTCTCTCATGCAAAACTATCCGAGTCCTTTTAGGTGAGGTAATGACCAATGTAGTTGTCATAATCAACCATTCTCCATCAGCTCCTCTTAACTTTTATGTGATGAAAAGCGTATGGAAAGGGAAATATAGTCCTTATGTACACTTGAGTGTTTCATTGTAGAACATTTACATGTTCCTAAATATAAAAGATCTAAGTTTGACAATAAAACAAAGTAGTGTATTTTCTTGGATTATGGAGATGATGAATTTGGCTACAGAGTTATCGGATCCAAAAAGAAGAAAACTATCAAAAGCAAAAATATTATCTTCTTTGAAGATCAAATCATTGAAGATTTTAAACGGAAGAAGTAGCATCCTCTAGTTTTATTCCTACTAGTTCAAATGTAAGACTACTCTATAGTTACTTTTGATGCCTTCTAATCATGTGAGAGATTTAGATACTAAAGATGATGGTAGGTTTTCTTTCGAGCTACCAAATGGATGATCCCGAGCCAACTAAAGATGATATTGATATTATTATTCCTAAAAAGATTGTTAAAGAGATATCAAATGAGCCATAGTTGAAGAAGTCCACTAGACCTTGTCAATCTTCCACTAAATATCCTTCTTATGAGCTTGTGTTGGTTACTAATGGAAGAGAGCCAAAATTCTTTGATGAAGCTATATCACATAAGAAGAAAAATGACTAGTGGAAAGCTAAGCAAGGTGAGATGAATTCCTTACATGAGAACCACACTTTTGAGTTAGTAAAGCTTCTAAAAGGAAAAAAGAGCACTCAAGAATAAATGGGAGTTTAGATTGAAAATTAAAGAAATTGATCACAACCAAGAAACAAGACAAGATTTGAGAAAGGCAATCACTCATTCTTAAAACCATCATTCTTAAGACCAAAGAATATAGTAGAAAAAGGAAGGGGGAAAGCTCTTCATTCTTAGGTTTTCTATAGTTGGATCTTTTGGAACCATAAAAATCCCTAGTTAGAATGGGATTCCAATTTAACACCTTTTGAGATTTTGAGAAAGGTTTCAATCGAAGAAGAATATTGATTTAAA